AACAGCATTAGTTTTATTCCTTGATGTTAATTAGGAGCAGAGATACGATTTTTTAATTAGCGGGCGAGTTGTCGGGAGTCACTGCGCCGAGAAACCATTAGGTTTTTCATAGCGCCGCGACTTTCGTCGCAGTTTTTATTTTTTTATTACAGAAATTAAGGAATGAAACGGGGGTTGAAAGATGGGAAATTTAATTCTTCATCGAACAGCATTGGTTCCATTCCTTAATATAAATTAGGAGAAAATGGACGATTTTTTAATTAGCGGGCGAATTAATGGGGAAGCGCTCTGCGCCGAGAAACCATTGAGTTTTTCATAGCGCCGCGACTTTCGTCGCAATATTAATTTTCTTATTACAGAGATTAAGGAATGAAACGGGGGTTGAAGGATGGGGAATTTAATTCTCCATCGAACAGCATTGGTTTCATTCCTTATTGTTAATTAGGAGGGGAGAGACGATTTTTTAATTAGCGGGCGAATTATTGGGGAGTCACTCTGCGCCGAGAAAACATTGGGTTTCTTATAGCGCCGTGACTTTCGTCGCAATATTAATTTTTTTATTGCAGAGATTAAGGGATGAAACGGGGGTTGATGGATGGGGAATTTAATTCTCCATTGAACAGTCTTTGTTTCATCCCTTAATATTAATTAGTCGGCGAATAAATCAACTGAAAAACATAAAGTAAACATTGAGTACAAGGAGGACAAAAGTCCCCCTCTGAACCTGTCCTTGTCACAGCGGAACTGCTACTGCCGAGTTACTCACGCACCCGACTCACATTTACCGACAATTCGAACGGGACGCCGCCTTTCCCGTGGGGTACCAACTAACATTTTTGGAGTCAGTCAAACCCCCCGATCCGGGCCTCTACTCAGGTCTATCCTCTTTGCATAGCCGCTTCGGCCACCGACGTCGGTAAACCGAAATTTAAAATTCGAAAAGTTTTGTCTGAGGACTTTTTTTGGCACTTACGTTATTTTGCTATTAAACTAACGATTTGTAGTTTACCCAATGTGACCAATCTTTGGGGCGTAAAATACCTACTATTATACATGTGTATACTAAAGACCGTATGAGAATGGTCCTGATTGGGTACCCCCACTCTTTCGAGTTCAGGCATGCGTCGATGTCCCCCACCACTCAAACCTGAGACCACTCTCATAAGGTCCTCAGTATATTATACATCGAGTATTATACATGCCAAAAACTCGAGTGTAATATACATGGTATTTTACGTGTAAAATACTGGGTATTTTACTGCATGTATTATACATGCCCAACCCTGCTGACCGGTCAACTTACCCAATTGTCAGTAATTTTTTCTCATTGTTGTTTATGCTGAAAATTGCCTATCTAGATGTAATCTAACCGTAATTTTTATGCTCAGTCATTTTTGNGACTCAAACCTGAGACCACTCTCATAAGGTCCTCAGTATATTACACATCGAGTAATATACATAGAGTATTATACATGCCAAAACCTCGAGTGTAATATACATGGTATTTTACGTGTAAAATACTGGGTATTTTACTGCATGTATTATACATGCCCAACCCTGCTGACCGGTCAACTTACCCAATTGTCAGTAATTTTTTCTCATTGTTGTTTATGCTGAAAATTGCCTATCTAGATGTAATCTAACCGTAATTTTTATGCTCAGTCATTTTTGTTTTCACTTTCGTCATGATTTTTTTTTTGAAATTTGAATAAAATTATGAATAGCGCTGAAGCGGAAATAAAAAATTGAATGAATATTACATTAGTACGGAATTGCAAAAAAATCAGAAAANACCCGTGAGATTCGAGCGTGGCGCCATCCCTCCGTTGGGGTCGAACTATTTTTGGCTTGGGGTCACTTCAACCCCGAGATCTGAGCCTCTACTTTAGTCAATCCTCTTTGCCCCAGTATATACCAGCATGACCAGCATCACCACTGTTCCACAAAGTCGTGAAGAGAGAATAACTCGACTATAACAAAAAAAAATGTTTAAATTAAAATATGAGCAAGAAAAAAATTGTTGTGCAGGCGTAAATAAGCATCTTCTTATGAGCCATTGAGTGTAGTTAATGCAACGATGTGAGTGTAACCTCAAAGAATCAACTCGTTCAAAATTACTGTCTCCAAAATGAACAAATCTCGAAATACCCTCGACAAGAAATCCAACAACGTACCAAATTGGTTATGGTCAGGGTCAAATTCACTACCCCAGTTCTACAAAATCATTTGGGAAGCAGTGAAAGAAGACAGGCCAACTCTGGGAGCGAGTCGGGGTGAGCTTTTAGTCGACACAAATCGTGTCTTTCCCATACTTTTAACCAGTCAATTGCCAACGGAGGTCCTCGGTTATATATGGAGCTTAGCAAATCAAAAATATGCCGGACAGCTGACCGAGCTAGAACTCTACATCGTCCTGGCATTGATAGCAGTCGCCCAAACCTCGTACCCCTTTACGAATTTGGATGTCCTCCATATGCTGCCTGGACCACCAACTCCTCGTTTGAACTTGAGTTTCCTGTACTCAAATCAAACTCAGATGCAGTCAGGATCACAGGGACCTACGTCATTAAGACCAATATCACACGGTAAATCATCACAAGCTCAAGTGGGATCTAAAGTTTTTCAAGCTGCAGCCATGCAGGGCCAACAAAGTCCTTTACAACCATCTCAGACGTCAATTGGTGGATTGAGTTTACAAACATCATTTTCGCCGAAGGCAACAGGTTTGCAATCTTACAGGGGATCTAAATCTTATCAGATCGCAACCTCACAATGCCAACAAATTCCAGTCCAATCCCATCAGATTTCAATGATTGGATCAAGCTTACAATCACCGCAATTGATATCCAAAACATCCAGTGTTTATGAATCAATCTTGCAAGCACAACCACCTGTCCAACTGACACAGACCTCGATCACATCATCCACCTTACAGACGTCTTTACCAAAAGCGCAGGTGAACTCAGCTCAAAGCTTGCAAGCTCCATCACAAATGCAGATGTACGAAACAATCGTCCCGTCATCGATAATCAATAGTTCATACATTTCCGGAAGTAAACTCTCAGTACCGCATAGAAGTTCATCGGAAACTTCAGCAGACCTCAGTGATGATTTCACTGATTTTCAAAGTGCTCCATTACCAGCGTTGCCTAATATAGATTCAAAGCAAGGCTCAGCCATTGGTTCTCGACTGGCCAATCATAATTTGAGTGGTGGAAGCTCAATTAAAAAGATGGGTGAAAAGATGAAAAAATCAACACTGAAGGTCAAAACTAATTGTTCGACCATTGGGGGCGGGAAGGAGATACCGCCATCTGATGTTTTTGGAGGGATTTTCTCGAAATGCATGGTGAAGAATCAAATGAAGACTGTGGTACTGAAGGACACTATTATCAGAAATGGTGAGCCACCGAAGAGCTTTGTGGCGAAACGTGAGACTTCATCAGGTCAAAAACAATCGAAGGAGCTTTCAGGGCTGGATCTCATGAACCTCCACTCTATGGACGATAAATATAGCGCCTTAAGAATTCTTGTTGAGACATCACCACTTCCTACAGTGAAGAATGTTCTGGAGCTTCAGGAATCAGAAACTCCAGAGAATTTGGAGAATGAGGAGGAACAGTTTGATGACTTCGGAGACTTCGTCTCGGCTGAGCAGACAGATTTGACTAGTGGTTTTAGTCAGTCTGTATTTGACGCGTCCATGGATCTTTTCTCAGATTTCGAGCAGTTTCTTCCGAATTCATGTGGGGATAAGGAAGAGATTTCGTTTACGCAGGAGACTATTGAAGCTTTGGCACAACTGGAAATCACTGCAAGTCCAGAGAAAACGATTGATTTTCTGGAGGAAAAGTATGAGACTATCATTGACTCCGGTAAGGATTTTTTTTACAAGTGGTTAGGTAAAGAGGAAGGCATAATCAATTTCTTTCGATTACATGTCTAAAAACACATGAAAATTTCTACACATAAAAAAACTCCCGCGTTATTAACCATTGAAAGAAGGGGCTTTAGTCTAAATAACACATGACCATTTCAACACACACATTGCATGGATAAATTCCAACGATTTCCAGTTTCAATACTTGCAACTTGGTCACGCTTTCAATACACGCATGAATTTATTACATTTGTCGGTAGGGACACACTTATTCTCTCGATCTCGGTCCATCATAACAAAAGATTATTGCCATTGATGGTTTCGCATTTTTCTTACTCATCCAGCAATCATAGGGTATCCAACGGAACCAGTATTATAATGACGAATTACTATCGATTATTAGGAATCTCCAATTGATTATCAATTATTTTGAGCTGCTGTTTCACTGTTTTTACATAGTGATGAGTTGTTACAAATCTTCATTGCTTTTTTCATTTGAATATTCTGAAGCACGAACATGTTTATTGACTCAAAAGGTGTAAATAATAATTAACCAAACAGCATTTCAGTAACTCAAATTTCACTTCATGCTTGTATAATTACTACTAGTGAACGGACGATTTGCGCCCGTCACTAGATAAATTTATGTTATTTTATTTTATTTTCTTTCTATTTCCGTCTTCACAATTCGATTAATTCAATTTTATCCATTCTTATGCTCATTATATATTTTTTTTTCCTTAATTCACAAGTTACAACATTGACTGAAGAGGAATTATATTAAAGATCAATCAGAAGTAATTTTTTTGTGATCAAAACAAACACTGAAAAAAAAAGTCATTCGAAATCTTATTTGGGTAATGGATAAATCGCTCCATGTATTCCTAAAAAAAATTTCCATCTATTTTTCCCTTCATATGGTAAAGGGATATCGGTACTCCGTATTCCAATGGTCGGATTCCAATTATTATTATGAAAAGGAAATGAAAAAGAATCAGAAAGGGATAAACGGCTAGGAAATGGAAAAAATTTGTTTTTCTTCATTTGTGTCAGTGGAAACGTGGAATCACTCTATTTTCTTCGAATATGGACGGGATATGAATATTTTGGAACTTTAATGTTTCCGGACAGTTTTAAAATCGTCGATATATTCTTTCGAATAATGGAAGAATACTCATAAATTCGAGTTCTAACCTTGTCTTTTGAAAGAATGAATAGAATAAATGAGAAAAATTGGGAATTGGAGACTAAAAATTTTATTGGATTATTATTATGTAATACTATAATATAGGTAATATCCCCTATAGAAAAATCCGTGTGCGTAACCGAGGGTTACTCATTGGTTTTTGCGTCAATTCTCGGCTTCCTCTTCGACGTAGCATACATATGATATACTCATTCGAAAGTTTATTAAATAAGCTTCAAATTGATGTCTGATTCATCCAAATTCGACAATTTTTCATTGACTTACAAGAGTGTTAGGCAAAAAATGAATTTTTATGGTTTACTTGAAAAATTAATTTTGGATGGATTTTTTGGTACTTCTAAGTAGACTAGACGGGAATATTCATACATGATTTTACAGGTAATTTTATGCCGTTCAATATGATGTGTGATAAATGTAATTTGCTCTAATTTTCACCGAGTTATTGTAGATTGTTTTCATTTTTTCCGTTGTGTCACATCTCAAAAATGATAGTTTTTACTATTTATCCAGGCCTTAGACTTGGCCAACGGGGATTTATCATATGTCACTTTGAAGGTCTCATCGAGATCTTCAAATTCATATACTATGTTATCTACCCCATCACCTAGGTTAATTGCTGTAAGCGATAATGTAGCGATTTTAGCATGTCACGTTTTAAAAATCTCCATGTTTTTCCTTTGAATGGCCAAATTCACTCGGTTTGAGTTGGAATTTGTGAAGATATTTCATACTTATGTGAAAATAGATTGAATTACCCAGGAATTGACTTCTGATTTACTCAATTATCTTCATTTTTCATTCACTTATGAGGGTTTTTAGGTAAAAAATTGAATTGTTATGGTTGACCCTAAACATTGAGTTTGGTTGGGGTTTTCGGTACTTCCAAATATTCATCCACTATTTTGAAGCGCATTCTATGTTCTTCAAAATGATGTGTGATAAATATCATTTAATCCAATTTTCATTGCGTTATTGCAGATTATTTCCATTTTTTCCGTTATGTCACACCTCAAAAATGACAGTTTTTACTATTTATCGAAGCCTTAGACTTGACCAACGGGGATTTATCATATGTCAATTTGAAGGTCTCATCGAGATCTTCAAATTGATATCGTATATTATCTGCCCCATCACCTAAATCAATTGTTATAAGCGATAATGTACCGATTTTAGCATGTCACACTCTGAAAATTCAGTGTTTTTCCTCTTAAATAGCAAGATTTGCTTGGTTTGTGTTGGAATCTGTGAAGATATCTCATTCTTAGCTAAAAATATATCAAATTATCTTGGAATTGATCCTTGATTTATCCAATTATCTCCATTTGTCATCGACTTTTGAGAGTTTTTATACGACAATCAAATTTTTATGGTTTACTCTAAGAATTCACTTCCGTTGGGGATTTTGGGACTTCTGTGTGGACTGGATGGGAATCTCCATACATAATTTTGAAGGGCATTTTATATTCTTTAAAATGGTGTATGATAAATGTCATTTACTCCAATTTTCATTGAGTTATTGCAGATTATTTCCATTTTTTACGTTATGTCACACCTTAAAAATGACAGTTTTTACCATTTATCGAGGCCTTAGATTTGACCAATTTGAAGGTCTCATCGAGATCTTCAAATTGATACTCTACATTATCTGTTCCATCACTTAAATCAATTGTTATAAGCAATAATGTAGCGATTTTAGCATGTCACATTTTGAAAATTCTGTGTTTTTCCTCCTAAATAGCAAGATTTGCTTGGTTTCTATTAGAATATATGGAGATATCCCATACCTAGGTGAAAATATATGAAATCACCTACGAATTGACCCCTGATTTATTCAATTATCTTTAATTTTCATTAACTTATGAAAGGTTCTATCCAAAAAATGAAATTTTACGATTTTACTGTAAATTCAGCCTGGATCGGTTTTTTCTGCAACTATCGGTCGAGCCAGTTAAACAATTCATATACCATCCCAAAGAATATTTATCGTTCTTTGAAATGATGCATAACAATTCTGATCCAATGGAATTCATATCCATTATTGCAGATTGTTTCTATTCTTTATGTTATATCACACGTAAAAATTACAGTTTTTACCGTTTATCTAGGGTTCAGATTTGACTAGAGAGGATATGTCACATGTCCACTTGAAGGTCTCATCGAGATCTTCATATTGATACTTTATATTATCCATTCGATTCACTACATGAATTGTTATAAACGATGATGTAACGATTTTAGCATGTCACGTGTTGAAAAGTGCCAATTTCTTCCTCTCAATGACGAGACTTTCTCGGTTTCTGTCCGAATCTATAGAGAAATTTCATACTAAGCTGCAAATACATTGAATTACTTCAGCCTGATTCATTCATTTATCTGCAATTTCCATTCATTTATAAAAGATCCTATTCAGAACATAAATTTCCATAATTTTATCGTAAAGTCAGTTTGGATTGGATTTTCTGAAGCGAATGAAACTCATCATATACCATTTTGAAGGGTATTTATTTTTCTTCAAAATGATGCATAATATTTCTGATCCCCAATAGGGCAATTCGTAATCGTGACGCTGGTACTTTTTCGGGTTTGCATGCTAATGCCGTTTTCCCTTTTTGATAAACCATATATATTTTATACTCAAATTGATAAGGGAATTATTGGATTCTGGTCATTTCTCATTCTCACTATGGAACTTACAGGCAAAGAATTGTTATTTTTCTTCATTTTTTTCTTTTATTGCAAGAAAATTGTTTTATCGCGTCTAACTTGAAAATTTAACTTTGGCTGGATTTTTCTATTTCTTTGAGTTGAATCAGCGGGGAAGTTAGCATATCATCTTGAAGGGTGTAATTGGTTCTTCAAATTGTGATGTATAGAATACGATTTGATTGAATTTTCAGGAATTCATTGGAGATTGTTGCTGTTTCGAAGCTCATGTCACACCCCAAAATTCGGCCTTTTCATTCATTTTTGGACCTTTGTACTTGGCCAATCTAGATTTATTTCACACCAATTTGAAGATCTCAATGACATGTTCAAAATTACGTACGATTTTTCTTCATTCCGTCCATTTGATCCATTGTTGTAGGTAATTATGTTTCGAATTTGGCATGTCACAAATTGAAAATTTCACATTTTCTCATCGTTTTGTCCTGAATTATTATTTTCTGACTTGATTATCAGTAGAAATCGCATATCAGTTGTGAAGCTCATTTTTCGCAGACTCATGAGATTTTTTGGCAAACATTTATTCCTCCATGGGTTATTCGAAAATTCAAATTGCGTTGGATTTTTGTAGCGCTTTGAGTCGAATCAGCGAAGAAATCAATAGATCATCCTTAGAGGGCATTTTTCGTCCTTCCAATTGTGACGATGCGGGTTGTATGCTATGTGGTGTATGTGTCAGATTTTGTAAGTCACAAATTGGAAAGTTGTTATTTCAGTGTTTTGTCCCGAGCTGCTGTCTTTCTCGTAGAAAAACTCGTAGAAATTCTATGTCCGACATGAAGCTCATTGAATAAACTCCAAATTGAGAGATTAACCACTTTATTTCAGCCATTTTTCGCAGACTTATAAAAGTTTTAGGCGAAAATTGCTACTTCTATTTAAAAAAAAATCACTATGACTTGTTTGGATATACTCAATCCAAATTAATGAAATCTGCTTGGTATGATGCTTGATTTAATTAAATCTTAATCGGTTCGATTAAGGGCTTAATATTCGATTTGAATCAAGAATGTTTTTCTGTGTATAGACATTACGTTGGTTCCATTCGCTGGGAACATTGAAATTTTGATGTAGTTTCTTATTGGTGCAGTTGTCAAGTGACTTCGATCAGTCGATGCAATCAAGAATTTGACTCAAGAATTCGAGATTGAAGAACAGATACAAATATTTGCATCAGTTCTTTAGTGTCGAATTCAGTATCAGAAACATGCAGCCTAACTAGCGCGCGCGAAGCTAGTTAGACTGCATGGAATAACACATTTTTCTAATAATATTCATGGAATTACTATTTCATCTATCAATTGTCAGAGAAGATCATTTCCAATATTTCATCACTATAGTACTTGTTCATTATCATTGATTGATGTTTGGATTAAAACTTGTACTTTTAAGCATTCTTAGAATCTGTGTTTGTGAAACATCAAACCATTCTTTTTTTTAAAGTGTTTTACATTTTTTCAATACTTCTCAATAAGTGAATTTTGGTTCAACATCCAGGAATATTTGGTAAGTATAACAAATCGGTAAGTGATGACTCGAAATTCCTAATTCTATCTTTTCCTTTCATTTATGACTTCACGTTTATTTTTATCTATGGAATGTGTTGGAACGGATTCAGTTGTCTAAAATGTGAAGTTTTAGACAACTGAATCCGTTCCAACTCTCTTCATTTGTTCTCAACTGTCATTCATCTCTGCACACCAGCGATTATTATACCCTGTGAGCTATTCGTTCATGCATTAAGATATTCTATTGATCCATTGTGATTCTTTATCATTATGGCTGATAACGATTCTCCAACCCCTCATTGCTCCCACACTGAGCCACGGCTTGGATCTCAAGAACCTGAACTTCTTCTCTCAGATCCTGCAAACACACGCCCAGCTTCCTCACCATCATCCACAGATTCTCCGCATTTATCTGCGGATCCCAGACTTCCTTCTACAGAGAGTAACTTCTTTACTGATGTCGATCTTTTGACTCCCTCTAATTATATCCAGAACATTTCCTCTTCTACAACTAAATTAGTGTGAGTGTGACTATTATTTCGTTTAATTGAATTTTTCTGTTTTTCATTCACAATTTTTTTTCATCATCAGAGAAATGGTTGGCATTATTCATCTAATCAGGGAAGCTGAGACTGTGACTTGCAAGAACGGTACTCAAAATGAAGTTTGCACCTTCTGCATACATAACAATGATGGTGAGATTGTTCAATGCGTTATGTGGGGCGATACCATTGATAGATTCCTCGATCAGCTGTTAGTGCACCATGTAAGTCAATTTGCAGCGTTCCAACTTCTTTTTCATTCATCTATCATTTTCATTTTTTTTAACTCATTCATATTTTTTAATATTTTCATGAAATAAAAAAACAATTTTGTATTCGTCATCCAAAAATTCGTTCAGAATCCAATATTCGATCAATAATTTCTTCCCAAATTGTATAATGTCTTTCATTATCAGTTTGATTCTTTTATTGCTTCTTATTTTTGTTTAGGTCATTCACATCGATGGAGCCTACCCAAAATTTGTGAAGGATCAGTTCAATTCTGGAACAGTGCCCTATGAATTAATTGTCCAATCAAATACAGAAATTACTGATTTGGGAAAGATTCAGGCCACACAGCGTTCTCAATCGACTTCTCCGGAAATCATCCCTCTGATTAATCTACCAACATGCAAGAAAATCGTTGGTAGGTTCTCTTTCGTCTTAATTTCAGTATTTATTTCAATTAAATTTGGTTTTTTTTTTTTTAATATTTTTCATCATAAAAAATTTCAATATATCATAAAAAAACCGAATACAAACGAATATTTCATGACGATTACATAAAAATAAGTCCATCAATTATATTAACTTCTGACTAAAATATATTTGTATTTTTGAAAAATCTCAAATTCATTGTGAGTTGATACAGAATGTTTATAGTTTTTTTATTTCAATTTTTGAATTTTTTTTTTTCATCGTCTCAAGGAAGAAAATTATCTTAAGCTTTTGAGATAAATTTAACTTTCTTTTCTCATAATTTTTTCGGTTCTTGTATTACATTTTGGAAATGAATTCGAAAATTCAACTTCATTCTCTATTCAATATGTTATAGAATCACTTATAGGATTTAATTTTTTTTTTTTTATTAAAAACAAATAAATTTCACTTCTAGCCTGACTATTTGTTTTTTAGATGAAAAATTTTTGATTTCAATGTTTTTCCTCCTTTATTTGTTTGTAAAAAATGGATTCGGATTAAGCCGAAAAAGTAAACATTAAGAAATATTGATTTCTTAATGTTTACAGTTGTGAATCTATTCTTTTTCTTTACAAAATTTCTTTAACACTTCTTTTTAACTTGTTTTGTGTCATTTTTTCTCCAGCTATCAGAGGATTTGTGGAAACTCCTTGGGCTGTCATAGAAAAACAAATGGAGAGTACAGGGAATACTTGTTATGGATCGATTGCTGCTCAAAAATATTTTGTCGATGTGAAAATCAATGACTTTCCTGCCAAATTCGTCTGTCCGTATTCGAAAGGGCAGCATGTCCAATGCGTTGGAAAACTGATTAGAAATGGTGAAATATCGAATCAATTAGGCCGAATAATACTTTATTTGTTTCTCTTGATTTTTTTTTATTTTCTCATTTCAGGAAACAGTTTTTTCTTCAATGTCCAAAACTCAGATTGCATTTCTCTTGTTGATCAGACAATGGCAACTCTCAAAGATCTCTTGTTATGCCAACCATTGGCTAATCTCAATTCATCCACTCTTCACTCGGCTGGAGGTTCGTCTCAACCAAAGAAATTGAAGAGGAATGAATTATTTGCCAAACGATTCCCTAAAAAAGTATCTTTTTTCGTCTTTCTTCTCGTTGTATTTATTAATTTTAGAATTATCTCTAATCGTATTTTTTTTCATTTTTCAGGGTTAAAATCTGACAATGAGGATTACTTTTCTCTATTTAAACATTTCAAGACAATTAATTTCCTTTACTTAAATATCATAATTACTCCTTCATCACTATAAAAATACAACCGGATGGACTGGTAATGGTTAAAACAATAGATAAACAATAATCAACAAGTAGATGGAGTGACAACGATACGGAAATGATTGCTTCGAAATATTCAACCATCAGTTGAACTATAACTCATTCAATTTCAATTTCATTAAATAATCATTCGAATTCGAATTAAATTAAAGAAAAGATAACAACAAAAAATTCTCTTGGTAAAAAAAACCCTAAAACCCTAAAAAATTCCTAATGAAAAATTCCTCGTAAAAAAGGTTTAATGGTAATAACAAACAGAATAGAATATCAACCATTAATGATAGATCAATAAATTGACTGACAATAATCAATCAATGTTTTCAAATCATGCACATATTAACTAAATCATTAATTAATTCTCATTAAGTAATTTTTTGATAGTTCCAATTAAATTCTTAGTAATTCCTTTTTAAAATGAATTATTGTTCTTGATTGTGATAACACCGATAAGTGTTGATGCCTTCAACAATTTTTTTTTCAACATTGTTAAATCGTAATAAAACTCCAAAGTTATTGACCAATTTTTCAATGGTTTTATTTTTGCCGTTACTCATTACTTTTTTAACCATTTTTGTACGCCAATATAGAAACAGTAATTATAACACTTTTCAATTTCTATTGATGTTTTTCTATTGTTCAATTTCCATTTCAATTTTATTACATTTCCAGGAATTACTCATTTGACAATTAATATTTCTTTGATTAGCGCTGGACCAGAAATTTAAGTTCATCCCTCATTTGAACAGTTCCCTCGTTTCTCTTGTGTCTTCTCGAAATCTTGTGCATGCTTCAAAAGAAGAATTAATAATATTTTGTTTTCAAAATTATACGCATTGAACGTCGCCTTCGGACTCCTCGTTTTTCTTTCTTTCTGAAAAGCACAATTTTTTTCGCTTTCAAAATAGTGTTGGTTAAAGTTCGTTTCAGGCAAATTTTCATCACCCATTTTGTTTTTTCAATTTGATCTGCTTTCATCACTAAAATCATGTTTGATTATAAATTAGTCAGTATAATCAATATATCAAACTATCACAATTTCTACTCTAAGTGACACTTCCTCTTCAAATTTGAGAAAATTCATTGAAAAAAAGTCTGAAAAAGAATTGCGGAAAACATTCACCGATTATGCTGAGTTCCTTGTCAGGACAACTTCTGTTTTGCCACTCATATATCACAAATTCATCTCTTCATTAATTCCTATCAATTATCATTTATTTTTATTTCCCTAATCAGTTTTTATTATTAAAAAATCATTTTCAATTCTAATTATTCACCTGTTAACTTTTTGGTTCTTCTTCCCTTCGTTCACTGAGCTATTTTCGTTATAATCAACTGAAATGTCTTCGTTTGGTGTTGATGGAGTTCGCTGATTATCTCGTGGATTCCTTTCTCGATCCGTTACTCGTCTTTCCCTAATCAATCTGTTGACTCCGTTGGGCAATCTCCTCCAAAACCATATTTCTTCCTCGAAATCATTATCTGTATCCACTATTTGAGTCCTGCTAATTATTTCTCTCTCCATTCTACGTTCTTTTCTTGAAACTTCCTTCCAGTGACACTTCTTTTCTTCTTTTTGTGAATGTGTTTTAATCATCGTTCATTTTTTTATCAAAGTCAATCATTTTTAACATTTTCTATACGTTTTTTGCCGTTTCTATTGACATGTTTGATAGGGAATATTATACAGAAAAATGTTAATAGAAAAAAGAGTCAATAGAATTTCATTTCTCTATAGAATTTTTTCGACTCAAAATTTCTACGTTTTTTTAGTCATTTTTTATTTTATTATTTTCAAAAAAATCGAATGAAAAAATTTGGAAACTTGGAGCGAAAAAAAATTCTTTAGACAACGAAATTCTATAAACTTTTTTCATAGAGTTTCCTATCGAACACGTCAAAAGAAACGGCAAAAAACGTATAGAAAATCCAATAGAAGTTCTATAGAAATTCCTATAGAATTCTTTAGAGTTTTTCTATTAAAAATTTCCCTACATGCTATTTCAATCAATCAATAAAAGTACAACCGTTCAAGCAAAATTTTCGAGATATTTCAATGTTCCTTTTTTTTTCTTCAAAAATTATTTGCTAGCACTCTAGTGTTTTGAAAAATTGATATATCAACATGAAATTTGACATGAGCTCTTGTTTTCCCATTTCATCCATTCAATTTTCGTCAGTTCCTATATAATTCTGTAAAAACTGGATTATCTACTATTGAATTTTCTACCTGTTCCCCTAAATATATCTTTAAAGTTGACCACGAGCGAACTCTAGACATAGCTACGTATAATTGTCCATGTGTAAATACATTTCGTCGCAAGTCAATCGCAATACGATCAAATGTTTGACCTTGCGATTTATTAATGGTCATTGCAAAAGCCAATTTTATTGGGAATTGTCGACGAGTGAATGTGAAAGGATATTAATTTTCACACATAAAAATTATTCTGTTGATGAACACAATCTTTTTTTTTTTATCTCCAATTAATATCTCACATTTCAAGACATTATTTTTCATTTCTAATATCAATAGTCTCGTACCATTGCAAAGTCCCTGTTGAATGGTCAAATTTCTAATCAACATGACTATGCTAAATTTCCTCAGTCGTAATTCATGAGGTGGGAATGATCGAGGCTTGAGAGTATTCAAATACTCTGGTGATAGATATTGATTGATTTCTTCATTGTCATTACAATTGTCCGTACTATCTACACTGGTATATAATTTTTCTGTGTCGATATCCAATAAATCCACTACTCGTTGATTTATTTCATCAACATCTTCATTTCTCGCAGATAGAATTGCAACTGTCGAAGCAGTTTTATATTTCTTCATGCGTAACAATTCTCCATACGTCTCTGTTACAATATCTTCATTCTTATTCGCTAAACATTCTTTTGGAAGATCTAATTTATCTGTGTCATCATTCAAGACCCCATTTCCCAATTCTATTAAATAATTAGAGAAATCCTTTTCTGTTAATAAAGCTCTCATATTTTTAGTCAATGTAAATTTGGTAAAAAATTGCCATAAGAAACTATATTTTATTGATAAACTGATAGTTTCACTTCACGTTGCCGCTTGAAGCACCGGAAGTAATTGTCGGAAATCTCCCCCCATAATCATTATTTTGCCACCAAATACCATATCATTATTCATTACATCCTTGAGCAATCGATCGATCACATCTAAACAATATTTTGGAGCCATCGGTGCTTCATCCCAAATGAATACATCATTTAGATATAATTCCCTTCCTTTTTTAGAATTCAATTTGATATTAGATGTTGAATCTGGATACAACGGTACTGGTAATCCGAATGTTTTATGAACTGTTTTCCCTTTTGGTAATAATGTCGCGGCTATCCCTGTAAATGCTGTTGTCATTACTTTCTTCCCTTTTCCCATTAACAAATACCACAAAGTGTCATAAATAAATGTTTTACCCGATCCACCGGGTCCATCTATATAAAAGCATGAATTTCGTTGTTGCACATTATAGTTATTTGTATTTGATATTATTTCATCAACAATGTTTTTCTGTTCTTCATTCAATTTTGCATATTGTTCTTCTCCTCTTGCTGCTAAATCTTCCATATTCAATTCTTCATCTGTATTTTCAATTGTTTCTAATATTTCAGGCATATTATAATTTGCAAGACATTTATCTTCATCATTCAATAATTTCTCTATTTCCATTAAGGCCCTGTTCTCTGCTGCAGCAGGTGTCATTTTTTTTTAAAATCTTCCGACATTGAAACTTTGAATTCCTCCCATAATTTCCCTGGATCCGAGGGTTGACAGTGAATCAAAATACAAGTAAATAAATGTCTTAAAGCTCCTGACATCATCGATACTTCTCCTTCCATTGCTCTAGTCCATTCATAATCATCTTCAATTAATCCCCTTTCCTTACAGGCATCAGTAAAAGTTGAACATAACTTTCCACTTACGGTTCGCAAATCATCAAAACTCTGAGAGCCTCTAACATTACACAATAACAATCGAAGATGGAATAATTCTAATTGAGAGGGGCTCACGGAGTACATTCTACCGATGATATTAAAATTCGATTGCCTTTTCCTCCAGCCTATTATTTTATTATCAATTTTCGTTTTAACAAATGTATAGTATGTAGGAATGTCAGAGTATACATAATTTCTTGCGTCTGGATCTCGAGCATTCAATTCGAAATAATCTAATAACACATTTTTTTGTTCCAATACATCGTCTAAATTACATTCTTCTCCACCGGGATTTATTGTTATATTTTGTTGATTTGGTAGATGTACCGGTAAACGAATAACCGAGTGACTTTTGTCATGCAGTTTTTTGCCCAAAAAACGCCAACAAGCTTCAACAGGGCCTACATAACGACTATCTATGTATTGTTTAATTTCATCGTGCTCAATGGTATTCTTTCCCGACTCGTCTTCTATCACAATTTCTGCGGCGTCATGTGATTTGTGGATATATTTATAAAAATATTTCACAGCTCTGATATTTGAAACGACTTCCACATTACAATGACAATTCAATTTCAGTAAAATTTCTGGACAGTACGGTACAACATATATATTATCTACTACATAACCATTTTGTTTCTCATGGTATTGTTCGGTATCTCTCCTACGATAACAGGGATATCCATCGTCATCCATTGTAGTTTCCTCTTGGAATCCTATTGGAAAATGTTTGGAACATTTATTATCAACTAAACACCAATCACCGCATGGACCATGAATCATGTTTTTCATTACTATATTATACAAATCTGGCTTTTCATTTTTGTCAGGGATCTCAGCAGAAATGAATTTGTCTACTATACATGGGCGAGTTAATTTATAGCCTCTTTTCAAATTGACTAACATATGAACGTGAGGTAATCCTCGTTTTTGAAATTCTATAACATAAATATAGGCCAAGACTTCTCCAAATATTTTTTTGATGATAATTAAATCCAGTAGGTAATTTTTTTTTAGATCGAAAACCCTCGCAACTAAATCAGGCCTGTCACTTGGTTGCTCGCCAGCACCAAGATTTTTCGTAATTTCTCGCCACCTAGGATTACATGTCATTGTGATAAAAAGATCGGGTTTACCATATTTTCTCACAATTGCCATGGCATCCTGGTAATTTTGAGCCATATTTCGTGGTGATCCTATGAATGTCGTCGGTAAAATAACAATTTTTCCTACTCCAAGGTCATTCTCTTCCCCTTTTTTTTCTAAGTAATCAATGAGGCCTTGATACGTCTCACATCTGAGCTTCTTTTGGTTTTGTCGAACAAAAGTTGTGCGATCTCTTTCTACCTTCACATAATTGTCGACTACCCATTGTTGGAATAATTTACGACCTTTTAGAATTGGATTGAAATAATCTCTGATTGCAATTAAATTTTTCACGTATGCCGACCGCGAAATTCTTTTATTTTTACTCAACCGTTTATCATCACTATTATGTCCCCCGAGTCCAGATGGATAGAATATTGGATAAATCCATGGTTCAATATATTCATGCAT